GAAAGAGAAAAATCATATAAGATAAAGATCAGCTTGACCTGAATGAATCATTAATCATAAACAGAAGTCTTTGTAACTTATAAAACTAACCTTATGATAAAATGCTGGACCTGAAATTTTGCAAATTCTGGAATGAAATTCTTTGGAAGCCTCTCCCTGATAAAATGAACTAGCTGTAAGAACTAGAGTTGCATGAATAAATAAATAGTTCATTCTCTGTGACAGTAAGGTCTTGGATTATCTAACACTGCAATTACCTTTGAAGATGATAACTGAACAGATACTATTTATACCTTAAACTTTACCTGAGATTGTATTCATAATCATTGGGTACTTTTGCACTTTTGTATTCTTGTCACAAAAGGGAAAAAAAAGTAAACAGTCAGATATTTTTTTCTCTCATGTACAGTTGGTGTTACCCCTCACGGCTATGCTTCCCGGTTTGAAATCAGCTTTGTTGACAAGTTTGATGTATCATTTGGGAGAGAAGGCGAGACAATGAGTCTGGGCTGCACAGTTGTCATCAGTCCTGATATCAAGCACTTCAAACCAGACATCGAATGGTACAGAAATGGTGAGAATATTTGACAAGAAAAAATGTAAACTTCTTTAATGTAAATATTCTCTTATTTCAGCGTATGTGAAAGTTATGATTAGGTCATCACTTTCTCAGATTTCCATACAGTAATATTTTCTCTTTTCCAGTCAAATTTTTTCAGAATTTAGCATTTTGAAGTGTATCCACAGTTAGAAAACTGATGAGGAACTATGAAAATATCGTCTAGGGATTTTTTTCTTTCTTAAAAAAAAATAAAAATTAGAAGCATTTCTATAAGCTCCAACATCTGTGTGGTCCGTCTACATAGCCCACATTGCTTTTACTATTTATTTATATGCCAAGGCTTTTCTTAAGTAGTTGCACAAACGTATCGTGCAACAGCTGATAAAAAAGCTGTTGCTTTCTGAAGTTATGCTTTTGAAAATGAAACAAATTGGCATGAGAGCAGAATTAGCTGTATTTTATGATTGTGTTCAAAGACAGAAAGTTAAATAATAAGAATGGTCTCTTGTGTATTTCCAGTCTATTCCAATCTATTCTCCTTATTCATAGTCTATTCCTCAGTAGACCCAGCTAGTTCTCATCATAAAATTCTCCAATTTCTAGGTGTTCTTATTACACCTTCCAAATGGGTCCAGATGCACTGGAGCGGGGAGCGAGCTTCATTAACACTGACTCATGCAAACAAGGAAGATGAAGGTCTTTACACTCTACGCGTTGTGATGGGAGACTACTATGAGGAGTACAGCAGTTATGTCTTTGTTCGAGGTAGGATACTGTCTTGTGAATGAAACTCACTACAGAAATGAGGAAAACTTGCTGGCAAAATCAGTCTCAGACATGTGAGGTACTTTTTTGCCAATAAGAAGATAATTATTTTCTATTAATAGATTCTAACGTTATAGCTTCCAGTTGTTATCCCTGGAAAAACAGAATGCAAACGTCATGCTTTGCTGTCATGTGCTGGAAGACTTCTAAACCCCATTGGCCTTCTGAGGAGGAAATTTAGGGTATTGACATAACTTCATTCCTCTTTCTCTATTTTGGCCTGTGAAGATCACCGAACATAAGTCATAAAGACGAAAAATTCTACACAGTAACTTAAAAATGTGTCTTTGTAAACATCTCACTGCTAGCTAAATTACACTGTTTTGATCAAGATTTTGTTCAGCATTCTCTCTAATACACAGTGCACGAAAAAATACAGTGAAGGGAAACATAAAGATCTGCACCTGGGGAAAAATAACCTTATGCGCTGGTGTAAGCTGGGGCTGACTAGCTGGAAAGACGCTTTTCAGAAAAGACCCTGGGGATCCTGGTGGATACCAAGGTGAACATGCACCTTTGCCACAAGGAAGGACAGTGGCATCCTGGGATGCATTAGGAAAAGCATTGCCAGCAGGTTGAGGAGGTGGTCCTTTCCGTCTACTCAGCACTGGTGAGCTCCCCAGTACAAAAGAGACATGGGCTCACTGGAGTCAGTCCAGTGAAGGGCTGTGAAGGTGATTAAGGGCTTGGAGCATATCTCACATAAGGAAAGGCAGAGAGAGCTGAGACTGTTCAGCCTGGAAAAGAGAGGGCTTAGGAGGAATTTATCCACATGTATAAATATCTGACAGAGGGGAGTAAAGAAGATAGAGCCACGCTCTATTCAGTGGTGCCCAGTGCAAGGAGATGAGGCAATGGAAACAAAATACAGGAAAGTTCATTTAAATGTAAGAAAACACCTCTCTTACTACAAGAGTGGTTGAGCACTGGAACAAGTTACCCAGACAGACTGTGGAGTCTCCGTCCTTGAAGATATCCAAAACCTGATTTGACACAGTCCTGGGCAAACAGCTCTCTGCTAATTTCAACCATTCTGTGATTCTCTAAAGTAAAGCAGCAAAGTGCAGAATTAAATGGTAATTTCTCTGGGTGTTTCTTGCTTGTACCACAAAAAACTTCCTTGAATTTCTATTAGGGAAATATTTCTTTAAAACAAGCCATGGCTATCAGGTTGCGTGCTGATTCTATATCTGTCCCAGCTGCCTAAAGCAGCTGAAATGTGTAATGCTAATTCAAAAGGTTCTGGAAACATTTGGCTCTGAGACTGTGCCCAGAAAGGCACTGGGTTGCCAAGTCCAGCAGTGCTCTGTGAGATAAGAGCCTGCTCAGAAAATATGACTGAAGCAAATGTTTTTATCCCCTAAAGAAAGAGTCTACTGAAATGAGCATCTGTGAAAAGAAATAGGACCTGTCTCTTTTGCTTTGTTGTAAATTGTGCTGCTCTGTAAATAAATGATCACCCTTGTTCCTGTTGCATCTAACAAGGAAGGTATGACCTGACTGCAAGCCCACTACCCCTTTCAACAGAGTATTTTACTAGCCAGTCTGTGTGTTTGCCAAATTCTAATTAGATTAATTATATTCCACATTCCTACTTAAATGGTTCCCACAATCTGAGTTGTATATTCCTCACTGGTCCTCCTAAATTGTGGACAAATTTGCTAAAAATTGCTAGCTATGGTATTTAAACACAAGCAGTTATCTGCCTGTGTCAGGCAGGGAAATTGGTGTGCATTGGTGGAAGTGATGGATGCACTAATCAGGCTCATAATGTTAGGTCTTTAGATGGGTTTATAGAGTGTGTGACTCCTCTGCCATGGCTATAGGTCAGCATTTGTCAGCAAGCCATCAGGGATGAAATCCTAACCTTCCAGAGGCTGATCGTCCCAGCTATTTCCCAGTCTGTCTTGGAAAGAAACCATGGTGTCTCACGTTCTGTGAAGCGGTAAATATGGGCAATTAAAACCTTACGTACAGAGATAATGGATGACATGTTGATTTTTCTCTTAATTTCATTATTATTATTTTGTTAACCGGATTGCTTACTCTGTACATTATAATTTTTAAAAATGCATCGGGTTAGCTGTAACTGGAACCTGGACTTGATAACTTTGGAGCAGCTTCAAAAGCTCCATGTGCTGCTCCTTTGCCTATAAGAGAAGACACGGTGGAAAGTGTGTGGTTTTTTTTTCTCTTAAGACTACCATTTTACTTAATGAAGCACATTAAATACTCTTATAAGGCATTTTTTTTTCTGAAAGCCAAAAGCACAAAAAATAGGTATTACTGTATATTGTAATACAAAATTCTGTATGGCCGTGAAATGGCAAACTTTTTTAAGAAGCCTGGGGTGATATTTGTTAGCAAAATATTTTTTGCTTCAGGTATATGCATCTTTCTTGTCAAAGTCAGGTCTTCTTTTGAAGTAGCTCACATGGCTTGAAAAATGCTACATGTGATTGTACAAATTGATGTTATTCTGCAGAGAAACAACCTCTCTTCTTTAAAAGTCTTTCATACAATCTTCCTGCAAAGGTTATTTTTCTTTACAAAAAAACTACTCCATCTCACAAATCAGACTGTGACTGCATAAACAGTAAAACTCCCCAGCACCCGGCACTGTGCTCTGTTTTTCAAAGCCTTAGATAAGATATGTCCAGAACCTGATGCTAGAATCAAGGCTCTTTGACACCAGCAGCCCCAGATTTGTGATAAACATTTGAAAAGAAAAAGATGCTCATCCTTATGAAGGTTATCTTCCACAAGGATAATTTATGTATAATATAATTAAGCTTCAAAAGGTTTTGATACATTTGCAGTTCATAGCTAACCAAAACCAAACAATGAAGGACTATGTGTGGAGATAAGATATTTAATTCAGTGTTGTATATCCAATGGGTGAATACTTTTGATTGAGCTATTGCATGACTGTAAGGGAAGGTATCAGCCTCTTCTCCTGAGTAGAACAGCAGTTAAATACATAGCCTGCCAAGTTTTTAGTCCAGCTTTGCCTCTGGCAGCTACCTAAACAGAATGCATGTTACTAATTTTAATTAAAATGCCAAGGTGAATTGCATTTGCAGTATGCTGTAACATACCGAGCATCTGTAAATGAGGCAAAGAGAAAACCAAAACCTACAAAAAACAGTGGCAATATCAAAAGAAATACTTTTTGAAGCCAGTAATGGAACTTCTTGTTTTAGTTCAGTAGGAGCAATAATTCAGTCCTTAAAGATTAGTAATTGTGAAAGAACTGCAATTTACATTCGGAAACATATGTCTTCCCACCCATAGATGCTGATGCTGAAATCCCTGGAGCCCCTGGTGCACCACTGGATGTGCAGTGCTTAGATGCCAACAAGGATTATGTCATTGTCTCCTGGAAGCAGCCCGCTGTCGATGGAGGAAACCCCATCCTCGGGTATTTCATTGATAGGTCAGTGAGTGCGTGGGACTGGAGAATTCATATTGCTGCTCATTTTAACTTGAAAACCTAAAAGCACATTGAAAGGCATAAGATAAAATGGTCATTTATTATTTGCATTCTTGTTGCTGGCCAGAAGAAAATGAATTACATCATGCTTCACTTAACCACATAGCAAGGATTCTGCGAGGCACTGCATAGCTCAGCCCTCGCTGCTGTCTGTGAGGCTTGAGAGGCCTCAGGACTTTGCAATGATTGGTAGCTCACAGCCTCAGCTCCTTCATGAGGCAGCTGTGACTCCTTCTGCACCAGGGCTCTCCTGCCTCTTTTCAAATAGTTACTACACACCAGAAAGCAAAATATTACCTCAAAGGAACTCAGATTTCTTTTATGTACTGTTGTTTTCCAAGCTCTGAGATTCACAAGCTTCATGCAGATAACACTTATGTGTTTTTCCCTGCAATAATAAGTATTGGAAATAATTTTTTAAAAAGATGAAACCTGTATGTGTCACATGCTGGGAGGATTTCAGAAGCTTGGGATTTCAGATATTCCAGAAATATATATAATAAATATGCCATTTGCTTTTAAATTCAAAGTTGTGTTACCGCTCTCCAGTATTCAATCCTACCAAAGGTATTTAGGCACCCAGATATTCAGCCAGGGTAGCCCCTAGGTGTCTTGTATAGTGAGCAGGTCACCCGAGACAGCAGGACTGGTCTGTGCTAACGTTAGAGGCGAAGCTCAGGCATCCTTCGCCCCAAGCAGAAACCAGAACCACAAAACTGCCCTAAGCAAGACAGTGACAATTCCCAGAAAAGAGATGTACTGTAACGTTTGCTTTGGCAGTTATCTCACCAGCAATGAGAAGTCTTTCCTGAGTTACTAGTTCATGTTCCTGTTAACCATGTTGCTGGATGCTGGGAAGTCATTTCCACAGGCTCCTGGCTCCTTGAGTCAAAGTCACTGTGTTTCTTCCCTGCTGCTGGTCCTCTCTTCCTTCTGCCAAAAACCAGCCTCTTGCCAGGCATGAGGCTTCACAGCAGTGGGACCAGCACCATCCTGTTGGGTGTTGCCCTTGCAATGGCTGTCTGTGCTAGGCTGGTCACATAACTCACAACAGCAGTCTCCAGTCCCCATGAAGCCCATCATTTTGAGGAATTTACAGTGGAGTCCTCTGCATGAAAGATGAACTGGTCGCCTTCTGGCAACTGCAAAAGATATGTGTATTTAATGTCCCCTGAAGTATGCTGAAGCTGACACTCCCCAAGCATACTTTGGAGGGTTTAAACAGTGAAGTGAGTTCTGCTCGTGTCTCTTCCTCAGTTCAGAAAAGAAGGGGTGCAGCTGTGAGGGATTTAGTGCATGCCCAAATGGTACTTCAGCCCTGACCCCTTGGTGCAGCTGTTTTGATGTCACCAGTATATAACACTGCTGAGGAAACTGGTATGGACCAGACAATGAACACAGACAGATGGTAAAGCTGTAAAGGGAGTTGAGTGCCCTGAGTTTGCGTTTTTCTCTTCCCACCACTGATCTGGCTGTTTGTATTTTCCAGGTGTGAGGTCGGCACCACTCACTGGACCCAGTGCAATGAGACTCCTGTAAAGTTCGCTCGTTTTCCTGTCACTGGCTTGATTGAAGGCCGTTCCTACATTTTCCGAGTCCGAGCTGTGAACAAAGCTGGCATTAGCCTACCGTCCCGGGTGTCAGAGCCTGTGGCTGCTCTGGATCCTGCTGACAGAGCCAGGCTGAGAAGTAAGATGTGCTTTTCGCAGGTTGCCTGAGAGGTTTAAGAAGTCACAATTCATGAAAAAAAAACAGTATGGCTGTCTACCCATAAACACTTGAAATCCCACTAGAGGGAGCAATGCAAAAGCAAAATATTCTTTGGAGACAGCTTTGCCGAGAAGTAATCTCAGTGCTCAAATGGCTGAAATGGCTTTGACTGTCTTGTGGTGCTACGCTCTGAACTTGCAAGGAGCGAAAAGGCACAGGAGAGCTAATTGCCTAAAGAGACTCACTTGTTAGGCCAACAAAATAGCTGAACAGATCTTGTGAACAGTCTCTCTCTGAGCCACTGACAAGGGTGGCTGATTCTGTGCTCATGTTTTGCAATAACTCCAGCACAATACCAGAGTAGCCCAACAGACCCCAAGCTCTCTGTTTTCAAGGTAACATTCTACAGGTCAAGGATATTTATCCTGTGGCCTGGCAATGTCCAAGACATTTTGCTTACAAACCCACCTCTCTACCCACATGTCAAAAACATATGACTAAAATCCATTTATTCCTACTTGTTTCTGAATTTTGCTATTTGAAATGGTCCAATGTGAAGGTATATTGCATGCAAAGCTGCAGGGCTCCCACAGTCCCAGCTTATATGGCCTACTGTGTATAATGCTGCAAGCTACAGCCTGCAGGAAAATGATGAAGGTAGAAAACCAAAAGGCCAGAGGAAGCAGGTTTTGCACTGCCAGGAAACATTGTGCTCAGACAGACATGTGAAACCTGAAATCTGGGGAGGGCTCTTCTTCTCAGTGGGAAGTGTGGAAGCTGTCTCAGGAAATGAAGTCTGGTCTTGGTGGCCTATTCCCATTATATCTCCTCTCATTCCATCATAATCCTTTCTCCCCACCTGCTCCCTCTCTGCTTGCATTTCCAAAATGGATCAGCCAACATAAGGTGAAGCATGTGAAGATGGAGAACAGCATTTGCAAAAATTATCTCTGAGAGTGCATTGATCTGGTTAATAGCTCAATGCATAGCTGCAATAATATGATAACACAGAGGTACTGAGAGCGCCACCCAAATCATATCAAGTGGATATGTTGAGTCAGGCGGAGCTGTTTCTGTTTGAGACTGTGACCCATGATTTGAAAGCTGGTAATGTGAGGGGAAGTGGTTAAAAAGAGACAAAGAGCAGCCTGCAGGAATTTGGCTGTTCCTTTAATGAGTGAGCTGTTAAACCAAATGAATAAAGTAGGGAAAATACAGTTCTTTCTCTGAAAATTATGATCTCAGTGAGCCAAATACCTCTGCTTGTCACCTAGGTGACTTCAATGACATTTCACAAAGGAATAGATGTTTTGGTGGATTAAATTTTCTACCTATATTGACTGCGGACTTTCTCTCAGTATTCATGCTGGTCACCCTACAACTAGCTTGGGTAACCAGCTTGCTACACTAGCAACAGTTAGAGCAGTGACCAAAAATGGAGCTCATGTGAATCTTGCAAATGTTATTTTTGAACCACAAAAGAGTTGGTTTTCTCATTATTTCAAAAGTCCCTGAAGTCTCCCATGTCCATGATACCTCTAACATCTGTTTCAGGTCACCCTTCTGCTCCCTGGACTGGACAGATTATTGTCACTGAGGAAGAACCTGCAGGTAAACACAGCCCTTTTGCCTACAAAAGTCTAATACGAAGCTGGCTGAGTAATTAGGAAACCTCCCAGTGAGTTCAGTGGACTTTGGCATGCACCCAAAGTTTGTTGTTCTGAGAGTCACTCAACCTTGAATAACTCCCAGCTTAGTTGTTGAGGTGAGGTTTCATTATTCAGGACGTAACAAATAAACATGCTTAGAGTTGAAAGAAGGACATTTAAAACCAATATTTAGAAGATTTAATGCTATGTTTTTAAAAAACCCAGATGCCAAGGTATATTAATACTACTTCTGTATTATAATTATGGCATTAATTCTGATATAAATATGAAGGAATTAAATCTCAGTTCCCTTTTCTATTATTTTCCCCTTTTCTTCAGAGGGTGTTGTACCTGGTCCACCTACAGACCTCCAAGTTATTGAAGCCACCAAGACCTATGTTGTGCTTAGCTGGAAACCTCCTGGACAGCGGGGCCATGAGGGCATTATGTACTTTGTGGAAAAGGTAAAATTGGACAAAATCAGAATCACGTTGCATCAATCTTGTACATTTGTTTTGCCATCTCTTCTGGACTTCTTAGTTAACTTTCATTTCCACCTGAGACTTTCAAACTAGGGTCAGGAGAACTAGAACTTGTATACATCATCAAGATAACTTTTACTGTAGATTAAGGTAAACTAGGAAAAAAAGAAAGATGGGAAATAGGAAAGTAGATGCAGAATGTGTCACACACTGTAATATCTTTTTATGAGTTGTGTCATTGACCTGCCATGGAGTAGACAGGCTGACAAACTCCCTTTATATTGAGAAAGCACAGAGCAGTGTCAGATGGGTTTTTTTAAATATATATATGTTAAAATACATATAAAAATAATTTTTGCATAAATTAAGCTTGTCTGGTGGGACAGATTGTTAACATTTTGGATGGAGCCATTCTGCAAGGGTTTCTTGGCATCAGCACTTTCTCCTCCAGCTGCCTTTTCATATTTATCCTGTACATTAACTTTCCATTTGCTTCACCAACTCAACAAAGATGACATTTCTTTTCTAGAATAGAATCAGTTTTAATTTCAGTGTCCTGCTCTTCTGAGATATTTTTTGCATGGCTGCTAACCTAGAAAATTCATGCAATCACCCTTTTTACTTGTATCTCATGGCTCACAAACTTTGTTATCAATACTTTTCTCTATCAGTCTAAAGGTGTCATCATGGGAGACATAAATACCTTCCATTATGTGTTTTTCATCTCTGTTACAAAATCTAGTCTCAATAAATGAGTTTCACTTAGCAACAGAGTTAGAGAGGATGAATATATGAATTTTTAGTTTCCATATAAGAAAGCTTCTTAATAACCTATTCCATGCTGAGTACTGAGTGCTGAACACTAGTGTCACATAGATAACATTTTCCTGAGAATTTTAAATCCCTCAGAAACCAGAGCCATTACTTGAAATTATCCTTAATGTAAATCACAGGTAAAAATTAACTAATTAACTAAAATTAATGGTATATGTGATCATGGTATGTAGAGCTTATAGTCACATATATAAAAACAATTCCAAAATTAATTGCACATGTTAATTTTTTTCCTGGAAATTGAAGCTCAGATCCTGATTAATTCTGGAAGCCACCACAAAAACATTCTCAGGAGTGGCACAAGAGCATCTAGAAGCAATGTGGTAATGCTAGAGTTTTGTTCTTTGGATGGTGTTGAATGTCTGCAGAACTAATTTTGAAAGTGGTCCAGAACTGGATGCAGTTAATAACACCACTTCCTTGTGATGGAGAGGAGTTTAGCTTTGATATATTAAAACCAGTAAGCTTTTATGTATGTTTTATGGAGTAGATGGATATCTGGCAGATTCATAGTCTTTGAAATATGCTCACTCTGTGGAAAGGCCCCAAAACAGAACATGACTCCCTGTTCTCCGTAGCAGACATGCATTTGGTGGTCTGGGCAGAAAGTCTTGTTGGGTCAGACACTCAGCTTTCAGAGACTTCTGTTCCAATTGCGGTTTCTGGGTTTGACTGCAGTGCGTTGCCGGCACAGAAGACTGGCAAAGGGTGAACACCGAGATCCCTGTGAAGTCTCCTCGCTTTGCAGTTTTTGATTTGGCTGAAGGCAAATCCTACTGCTTCCGAGTTCGCTGCTGCAATTCAGCTGGAATTGGTGAACCTTCAGAAGCAACTGAAGCCACTGTGGTGGATGACAAACTCGGTAAGTGTGTGGTCATATGTAGTAAACTACCTCCATGGTATCTTTTCAGTTTATGATGCAGTTGTTCTGTCTGAAGGCAGGTAGCTGCTCAGTAACTAATTCAAGTGTGAAGAGTTAGTGATTTATTCCCTTTAGCTAAAATAATTTTGCTTTGGGTTGTTGAACCTTTAATGTGTAGTCAAATGACAGATGTAAACCAACAGAATTAAACTGCAAATAGTGATGCCAAGAACTGCAAAGGCTGAAAATAGTGAAAGAAAATGAAAACTCAAGGAAGTACAAAAATGTTTTGTTTTACTTAGAATCTTTATTGAAAATAAGCCCAGACATTAACAGAGTTCAGCCTTCCTTTTTTGCCAAACTAAACAAAAGTGAAGAATTTAATACTTCCATGAATGCAGAGACTATTTCCACTGGAAGAAAAGCCAAGATGTTCACCACAGTAAAGTATCAGTAGCTATGTCTACATTAGCAATTTGTTTCCAAACGGCAATGCAGATTTGAATCCTGTTCCCAGATTGTCTCTGTTTACTTCATGTTGGTTGAATTCTTAGAACAGTTTGATGCACATGAGCTACATCCTTTAAGAAGAAGAGTAAAACAGCTCTTCTTGAATAACACTTCAGATGCATTTTGCTACTTATTTTGTTTCTTGACATATTCTGTGGGCTGCACAAAATCCTTCAGTGTACACCTAGCACATTTTCCCTTTAAGAAAGCTGCAAATCACATGTCTGGTGCAGATGTTCAGCACAAGGGAATAAACTAAATCTAATATGAAGGAAATGCCCATAACCATAGGCAATGGAGCAGTGAGGAACCTCACCATCAAAAGCTTGAACCTACCTTCTGTGCCAGATTACTTGACTGAAATCGGAGGCATTTTGGGAGGTTAAATCTGTATTAGTTGTGCTAATAATAATAAAGAATAGAATATAACCCTTATTTTATTTGAGAATTTTGACTGGTTGGGCACTAATTTATTTCTGTTTCTCTCCCACAGATATTCCCAAAGCTCCTGGACGTATTATGCCAACTAGGAATACAGATACCTCAGTTGTTGTCACTTGGGCAGAGCCCCCAGATGCCAAGGAGCTAGTTGGGTACTACATTGAGTCAAGTGTAGTTGGATCTGGTCATTGGGAACCATGCAACAACAATCCTGTGAAGGGCACAAGGTAATGGATTTTAAAGTATGGAAATTATGGTCACCAGTTTGTGATTTACTGGATATATGTGCTTTCCAGAGAGTAGTAGTAGTAGATTTAATTGCTCTGTGGTAGCCAGAGGGCTGTAATCACTCTTGCAGGTGAAGTTCATAAGAAGTTATAAAAACATATTTCAAACTGTGAGTCTTGTCCAAAAGGAATTTCTAATCAACCTTATATTAGAAACAATTAGTCCAGGGGAGGAAATAGGGACATAACTAGTGAAGAAAAGAGAAGCAGCTTGCTAGTTTTAGCTATTGTACAGCCTATGAGTTTGATGAAAAACAGTACAGCCAGCAATGACTGAAGTTACAAATGTGGAAAACCAAACTGCGTAATGCTTAGAAGCAAAGTCCTTTGTTTTGGATGACTGCTGTAAACATTTCTGGACAGTGTATCTAGAATGTCAGGAGGAAATGTGGACTATATCACGCTAACAATATTACTTTTTAACTGCT